AATGTCCATCTACATAGACTGAACACATCTTTACTGGCCAATGTCAATGTACATAGACTGAACACATCTTTGTTGGCCAATGTCAATGTACATAAACTGAACACATCTTTGCTGGCCAATCTCCATCTACATAGACTGAACACATCTTTACTGGCCAATGTCAATGTACATAGACTGAACACATCTTTACTGGTCAATGTACATAGAATGAACACATCTTTGCTGGCCAATGTCAATGTACATAGACTAAACACTTCTTTACTGGCCAATGTCAATGTACATAGACTGAACACATCTTTGCTGGCCAATGTACATAGACTGAACACATCTTTACTGGCCAATGTACATAGACTAAACACATCTTTGCTGGCCAATGTCAATGTACATAGACTGAACACATCTTTGCTGGCCAATGTCAATGTACATAGACTGAACATATCTTTGCTGGCCAATGTCAGTGTACATAGACTGAACACATCTTTACTGAACACTTCCTGACCATCATACCTTGGCAAAGCAATGTACATGGAGTGAACACATCGTATAAACACCCAGAACCTCCCTAGGCAACATTTCCATCCATTGAATTCGCTGCTGTCTCTCCTGATTTGTTTTGTCTCAGGCACTAATTGTAAGTGCATATGTAAAACCCAGACTCCCAAACGTAATACCACATTCATACTGTTGAGTTAACAGTCATCACCAGGAATCGAACCCAGAACCGCCCTAGTATGAGGAAACACATTAACCACTATACCAATGCTCTGTCACATCTATTGTTATGGCTGTATATGAAAAGATACTGACTATGTGCATTCTGAAATTACCAGCTAGGAACTTATTACAATGAGATATCAATTTATGATTTTATTTACTATCAAAACAAAAAATATTCATTTTTTAGTATGTAGGAACAAGAAAATAAACAAAGTTGACAGATGCCCCCCCCCAGCCATATCAAGATGATGAGTGTTGAATTTACATTTGGAGAAAACAGAGTTTTAGTTTTCATCACTCTGTATTATATTCAAATGTATCAGCATGTAATCCACACCTAGTTTCCAACAGAACTGTATGACCATCACAAACACCAAGTTTCAAAATGATAAGAGTTTAGACTACATGTATGTGGGATAAAATATAAATTTTACAGAAATTCCAACTCACATTCATTGACTGTGGATTTACC